GATTTTTTTTTTTTGTATAAAAGTTTAAAAAAAGCAGAGAGTGTTCAACAAAATCTGGAACTTTATATTTTTGTTGTAGAAAATTTTGACGATCGATTAAAAATAAAGCTAAGAAAGTAGCTGAAAGATTACTTGTTGTGAATGTTCTGTTATAAATTAATTATAATGTGTATTAAATTTGAATTTTTATGGTAGTGTTTTAAATGAGTGTGTTATATTTTTTTCTTCAAATTAATCTAAATTAGCTTATTCCTGAGCTTCTTTTTTAATTTCATAAAAAGGGGTGTCTAAAATAATTAGTGCTTTATGTGTCCGTTGTGGCGTCCGTAATGCAACACTATTTAAGCCTTTTTGCTAAAAAGTTTGTAAACTAGTGGTGTCTTGGAAATCTTCGGAACCCTTTAAATTTGCATCCTCCACCCCTCCTCCCGTCCCCATACCTAGGTACGCTACTATTTTTTGACTAACTTTTTTAAAAAGCTAAACCCGCGCCTTTTATGTAACTTCTAATAATACCTAATTTAAAAGTGGAATAACAAAGGTTGTTTGTGAAAAATTGTCGATTGCTAAATCGACAATTTTTTCACAAACAACCTTTTAAATTAATCTAAAATCCTTTTAAAACAATCTAAAATCCAACTTTTTGATAAACAAATTGAGCTGGAGTTAAAGATTAAATTAACTAAGTCTAGATTAACTAAGTTTAGATTAACGAGTTATTCTAAGTTTTTAGCAATACTACGAATATTTAGGTGGAACAGTGAGAATTGATTAGAAAAACATAATTTAAATATTATAAGGAAAATAATAGTTTTAATGAAAATAACTGTTTAGAAAGAATTTTTTAAAGTTTTGTGAATTTCTCGACTAGTAAATAAATAATCTAGGGGACTAGATTATTTATTTACTAGTCGAGAAGGAAACATCGCAGTAGCAGAGCTAATCGAGACGAGATCCCTATGTACCGTCGTACTACTCATAAGCTGAGTAGGTATATAAGTTTATTAGTTTATTTCGCCGTTAAAAATATTTACAAAGTACAACAATATAAAAAGTACAATTGACTGGAGCAAGAAGAAGGCATAAAATAGCCTTATCACCGAGCCCCAATAGTAACGCAAATAAATATCCGTAATATATAAGCAAAAGTATTTTAAAAAAGACAATTTAAAATGTTAAGAAACAAAGTTAAAAAGAAAAAAAAAAAAAAAAAAAATTATTAAAATAATTGAAGATAAATAAAAAAAATAAAAATAAATGATTAAAATATAGTAATAAAAATGACAAAAATTTTCTGTTTTTGGTTATAAATTGGATGTGATTCGACATATATATTTGTATATATTATTTTCTTTCAAAATAATTCAAAATTCAAATAAAAATTCTGTTCCAATATTATAAAATATAACAAGAAAATTAAGAGAAAGTAGGAAACTTTAAGAGAATATGTATATTCAATGAAAGTATGATAAAGACATTGAAATTCTTAGTACTGTTAAATGGTCTAAATTTTTATATTTATGGTGCTAATTTAGTTTAATAAATTTTAAAGCTTTAAAAGTGACATAGAAGATCTGCTATATTAAAATCCGTAAGTACTAAATAACGTCTTAATTTAGATTTGAATTGCGGAAGTGTTTTTTCTTTAATATTAACAATATGCTGAAAGTTTTTCCACAAAATTGGACCCCTGTACTGAATTGAATAAGAACATAACTTTAGATTATACTTTTGAGTTACAAAGTTATTTTCTGAGAACTTGGTGGGGTATTTATGGGTTACTTCTCTAAAATAAGGGTAGAATATCGCTGGAGACAGTCCATGTTTTATTTGATACATGAACTGTATGACGAGGAATATGTTAATTTTAAACACATTTAATGCATTGAGTTTACGTAAAAGTGGCTCACAAGGCACAGTTCTTTTTACTCCAAATACAATTCTACATGCATGTTTTTGTTGAGTATAAATTTTCTTTAACTTAGCGTAGCTGTTGCTTGCCCATACGATATTGCCGTAAGTTAGATAGCTATGTATGAAGGAAAAATATAAACTTTTTAGAGATCTTATATCCAAGAATGGTTTTGCTTTATACATCATTGCAATGTTTATTGAAAGTTTTCTTTCAAGAGTGTTTATATGTTTCCTCCATGTTAAATTTTCGTCTAAAATAATACCTAAAAAGTTTACAGTTGTTTGCCTAGTAATATTTATATTATTGATTTTAAGATTAGGTAATTTTAAAGGAAGGTTTCCTGTTTTGGTTAGTTTGTGAAATAGAATAAATTTAGTTTTGTTAACGTTAAGTGAAAGTTTATTACAAATAAACCATTCATTTATTTTGTTTACTTCTTCATTAACTACTTTAAAGAGGGTTTTAATATCCCTATGAGAATAAAACAGATTGGAGTCATCAGCAAACAAAATAAAGTTTAGCATGTTTGAGGTAAGAGGTAGATCATTTATATAAAGAGAAAACAGTAACGGTCCTAAGATTGAGCCTTGAGGGACTCCACATTTTATTATACTTTTTGTCGTTTTAACATTTTCATATTGAATGTATTGCTGTCTGTTTGATAAGTAATCTTTAAACCATAGTAAATTATTGTTTTTTATTCCATAATGTTCAAGTTTTTTTAACAGAATGACATGGTTGACTGTGTCAAAGGCTTTAGACAGATCAATAAATACTCCTAATGTAAAACGTTCATCATTAAAGGGATTGGTTTACTAACTTGGTTTACTAAAGGCATTGAGTTACTAACTCGGTCAAAGCGTGATCAGTTGAATGATTTTTTTTAAAGCCAAATTGCTTGTTGTACAACATGTTATTTACTGTTAAGTAGCTGTTTAGCCTATTATACATTATACGCTCGAGTAACTTAGAAAAGCATGGTAAAACTGATATTGGTCTATAATTTGAAGAATCTGTGTCATCGCCAGACTTAAAAATAGGCAAGACCCGTGCAATTTTTAATTTTTCTGGAACTGTTCCAGATTGAAGAGAAAGATTAAAAATGTGATATAAAGGAGTTTCTATAATATGAAAAACTGATTTAACAACATTTATGCTAATATTATCAAAACCTACACTTGTGTTGTTTTTAAGATTATCTAGAGCATATCGTAACTCATTAATATCTAGTTTAGATTCGTCCATGACCTTATCATATATTTTTAAATAAGAATCAAACGATGATGAGCCTGAAGGAATTTTTTCACCTAAGTTTGGACCAATATTAAGAAAGAAGCTGTTTAGATTTTCAGCTACTATTGACTTGTCATATATAATTTTACCATCTACTAAGAGTTTCTTTGGTTGAATACTTATTCCATTATTTTTTCTGCCAATAATTTCTTTAATTACGCTCCACGTACTTTTGGCATTTCCGTTAGTTTTTTTTAACAACTTTAAATAGTAAATTTTTTTTGATTGTTGTTTAGTTTTTTCAAATATATTTTTATAAAGTTTGTAGTTTGTTTCATTTTTATACGTTTTTTTTTTTAAGAATTTTTCATACAACTTTTTTTTTTTCTTTGAAGACTTTAATAAGCCTTTAGACATCCATGGAGCTTGATATGACTTGGTATTTATAACAATTTTTTTCTCCGGAAAAGCTTTTTCATATTGCTCACAAAAAAATTTAAGAAATAGTTCATAGGCATTATTTACCTCTACCGATTGCATTATAAGATCCCAATCAACGTTATATTTTAAAAGGTGTTGAAATTTTTGTAAGGAGTATTTATTGATCTGCCGCCTGTATATTATAAATTTAGAAGAATTATTATTAATTGTTATATTATTAGTTATTAAAAAAGTAGGTAAATGATCTGATAAGTCTGTTTTGATTATACCTGTGGAAATATAGTTGTTATAAAAATTGTTAGTGATTATGTTATCAAGTAAAGTAGAAGATTTCTTAGTTATTCTGGTTGGTTTATTTATTGTTGGAATAACATTATGTTGAAGAAGTTTATCGATAAAATGCTTAATTTTGTTTGAAGCTTGTTTTAACAAGTTCAAATTGATATCGCCGACAACGTAAATATGCTTAAGTATTAATAATAGTATTAATATAAGTATTAATAATAGTTTAATATAAGTATTAATAATAGTATTAATAATAGTATTAATAATAGTATTAATATATTAAAAAAAAAATTAAAAATAATTAATAATAGTATTAATATAAGTATTAATAATAGTATTAATATAAGTATTAATAATAGTTCCAAACTTTAGCAGTGCTAACCACTTACTGAGTTATCCGGGCTAAAGAATTACTAAGGAACCGTCTGTAAATGATTGCAGTGATTTTTACCGGTTAACTAATTAAAATTATTGAAGGAATGATTAAAATTAGTAAATATTATCTAATAATGTACTCAGGAAATATTATTCTATATCTATAATATATATTACCTCACTCGTCAACTTCTCGGGAGTTGTTTAATTGATCTTCAATTAAAACGGTTGGTAGTGAGTGGTCTTCACGAACTAGTTTTGTATAGTATTGTATAACATAGCATAACATCGTCTTTTTAAGATACAAACAGATCTGTTGTATCATCTTCATTTTTATCTAAGCATTTAGCAGTTTCTAAATTCTTCTGCAAGTTGATAACTGCCATCAGTTCTCTCTGACACTTGGCAGCGATGTGAATGATAGACGACTTTCAATAAGTTAAGCAATACTGTTTTATCGAAGAACGTTTTATGGATTTATCAGTATTGTTTACATCGCAATTAGAATAATGATTTTTCTCCTACCAGCAAAACCAACCATTCTTTTTTTATACCACATTATAGGTGTAAATACATTTAAAATCTGCTCATTAGTGATATAAATATAAACTTGAAAATGAAAAAAACTGACAAAAAAAAAATGAAAAAAACTGACATCGTTTTGATCTCACTAGCCCTCCCCCTCCCTCCCTCTCCTCTCTGTTTACTGATATTATCCGTAACTAAAAAAAAAGCATTCGGGAATACTCTTAGTAAAACTGTTGCCTATGGGTATAAAGAAAATAATATAAAAGTTAGCTAATTCATCTACATTAAAGTTGATGTTGTTGCAACAACAACAACAACAAAAACACAAAGTAATTTAATGCTGTTGTTTTGAGACAAAGTAATTTAATGCTGTTGTTTTGGCTCCAACTTGTTATCCACGGCACCGAATAAGAGAATTCTTTTTTTTCAAAAAAATACAAGATTTATAGTGTTAATGATTCACTCTAGATTCATCTCTTTTTTTTTTGACAAAAAAAAAGAGATTGTCCAAGTCTATTCTATCGATGTTTAGAAATTGCCTTTATAAAATAATGTAATTCGCCAGAGATACGCAAAGTATGCAGGGTTACTAAGTTTAATTTTATATCTATCAATGTTGTGTTAATACGTCACTAAGCTTATTTTATTACCCTGCAAATTTTTTTTTAAGAATGAATTTAAAGTTGTAAAAAATAAATAAAGTTTTTAAAACTATTGCAACCTGGTCTCCTATGTTTTTTCGTTCATACACGTTTTTTGTGTATGCTTAATGCACTTTTTGATACACAGATTTTTGGCAATGCATTGCTGTGAACCGAAGTTATCTCTAGCACTTTTTTAAAGCGTAGTGCTGTACCCAAACAGGTAATTGAAACTCATCGGATTTTAAACAAGATTCTTACATTTATTTTATCATAAATGAAGTTAAAAGATAACAAAGTGTTTTGGCTGATAATTTTTTTTGTTTCTTCCTCGTTTGCAATACTTATAAACAAATATATATTATGGAAGCTAAATTTTACATATCCATCGATTTTTCAAAGTTGGCAAATGTCTGTTGCATCACTTTTTTTAATATCTGCAAACTCTTTTGAAATTATAAAAATTATGCCGTTATCAACAGAATCTTTCAAAAGATTGTTACCTTCAACGTTTTTATTCACAGTTAGTATTTATTCTGGATCTAAAGCTCTTTCTATGTTACCTGTTCCAATTTTTTGCCTTATTCAACAGATGTTCATCCAGGCTACAATCTATATTGTAGAGATTTATAAGACAAAAAAAAGTATGTCAAATTATCAAGCGGTTTGCATTATGACTCCGTTGTTTATTATATGGATAACTTATTTGTTTGATAATGAATATGAAAATCAAGTTAAGTATGTTTGGATTTTAATAAATTGCCTCTGTATTTGCTTGAATTCAATTTATATTTCATTTTTTAAGAGCATAAATGTACAAGAAATTGATAAAATATTTTTAAATACAAAATCCAGTATAATTTTCTTATCATTGTTTGGTATTTTGACTGGTGAAACTCCTAAAGTAATTAACTTTCAAAAACTATATCATACATTTTTTCATTTGCTTTTTGTTGGAAGTGGTGTTTTTGGAGCTTTAATGATGCTTTCTTATGGTCGTTTATGTAATTTATTTTCATTATCAAGAGTTCGATTTTTTAATGCTATATCAATGTTTATTGTCTCCATAGCTTCAATAATTGTATACGATACTAAAACATCTGTTTACAAATTATGGTTTGCTGTATTAGGGTTAGCTTCTGTTTCTTATTATTCGTATTCAGTTTCAAAATTTAATTATCAATTAGGTTTAAAAAATCAAGAGGTATAAGAAACATTAGTTGTTTAATTTGTAAATGATTTTCACAAAATGTGTTTAGAAATGTGACTATGTATGATTTCTTTTTAGATATGTATATATTTCAAATAAGTAAATATAATAATATAAAAATAGTTAAATGCTCAATTAAATTACAATTTGTGTGCAAATCTATTAGGTTAAATTAGATAGATTTGCTTGTGTGTCTATCTAATTTAACCTAATAGATTTGCACATATACAGGACTCATCAGAGATGGAGGGAAAATTCTGATAGCACTTAATTTAAACAAATCTGAAATAATTTATAAACTTGCAAATCTTAAAAATAAGAAGCTTGTGCAAATAAATAGTTAAAACTTATGTGGCCAAATAAAAAAATAACTTATAGTTATTTTGTTATTTGACTGCATTTTTGCTAGGGGCCTCTAAAATATTAGTTGCTCCAGGTCTTGCAGTTCCTTTGATAGGTTCTGTACATATATGTATATAAATATATATATATATATATATATATATATATATATATATATATCATACTTAGTATGAAAATCCTTGCCTTTGTACCTTGGGTAAATCTTGCCTCAACCTGAATTATCTGTTTGTCTTCATATCTCTATTGCCAGTATACTCTCTTGAAAAATCATCAGTAATGTTTTGTATTATTTTAAAATAAGTAGTGTTGTGTGTATTAATTTTATATATATATATATATATATATATATATATATATATATATATATATATATATATATATATATATATATATATATGTTATGTAAATGTAAAAATTTCAATTTTTTAATAAAACTGTTAAACATTTAGTAAAAAAGTAGTACATGTCAATAATATTTTTATACATTTGTGTATTAAATCTAATTTTGTATCATAGCTTAGTCTGTGTAGGTTTTAAAGAATAACTCATCTAAAGTTGATAACTCTTGGCTTTCATGTACATACTAGGAATTATATTTTTTATTTTATTTTATTTCAAAAATTTATTTAATTTTAATAAGTTGCAATAGTTTAGTTTTCATAAACTAATTAAAATCAACACATATAATTTTATGGACACACACACCAAACAAATATCATTATTAAATAAACAAATAGTTAAAAAAGGCATGTAAATACAAAAAAAAAAAATTATAATAATTGTAAGAATTACAATTTTAAAGAATTAATTACTCAATTATAATAGCAGACTAAAGCTGTTATAATTGAATAATTGAATAGAATGGTTTTATAAAGAATCAATATCTTAAATAGTGTTTGTATAAATTCAATTAGCAAGTTGTATTTTTTATCTAAATGCTTCAAATAAAACGTCGCTTTCCACCAGACGACCCATTCTTTGAAGATGGTGATATATTGTTTACAAGGCTTATTCGTACTGTTGATGAAACAGTTGATTCAATTACTGAAAGTTTGGATGCTGTTAATATCAGTAGTTTTAAGTGCAGCATAAAAGGTTGTTCAAAAATTTTTTCTAGTCCTTTTCTTTACAATCAACATTTTGATTTACTTCATCGATATGTTTGTCATTCCTGTAATAGACATCTTCCTTCAAATCACTTACTTGAACTTCATTTAATGGAGACACATGATACTTATTTCCAAGCTTGCCTAGAGAAAGGATTAGAAGTATACCAGTGTTTCTTGCAAAGCTGTAGAATGAAATTTGTTAACGAGGAAACTAGAAAAAAGCATCTTGTGGATATCCATCATTATCCTGCTGATTTTAAGTTTAGTGTTTCAAAAAGAAATTTAAAAGAAAACCAGACAAAGAAACTAATGAAAATAAATCTTGATAACAATTCTGAATCTGCAATGGAAATTGACATTGAAAAAATAACTGACAAAAATACAAAAATTTTATCGTTCAATGATGATGTACCTATTAAAAGCTCAAATGATAAAATAGACAATGAATTCCATAGGCAATGTACAACTGATAAGAAATTATCAAAACGATGTCAAGTAGACAATGAACTAACAAGTGAAGAAAATAAAATTGAAAAGGTTACTAATGATTGTGGTCTAAATAATAAATTTCAAAACAAACAAAAAACTACTGCCAAACTGCCTAAATCTGTAAGTTTTGGAAGAGGAAGACAACGTGCTTTTATCAAATGACCAAATGATGAAGCGTAGCTTGTTGGGGGAAAAAAATATACACATCTGTTTTAAATAATTAAATATACCTATTTTAAATAATTAAATACTTCAATATATTTTATTAATTTTTACTCTACTTTATAGTTTTAAATAAATATATGATAATGTTTAAAACATTTTAAATTTATTAAGATTTTTTTTAAGAATTTATTAAGATAAAGGATTGTTATAAATTTTTGGTTTATATGATTTTTGATACCAAATTTTGAAAAACTTTTTAAATATGGAAATGGTTTTTTATTATTATTTTATAAAAATTATGTTATTTACTTTAAAACTGTTTTGATATAATGTTGATATTGAGGTAAAAGAAAAAAAAGGTGAAATTGCACAGTTCTCAAAATGGCTTTTTGTAAATTAGATCATAAATCAAAGTAAAATGTTTGCATATAACACAATTTTTAATTTGGATATTGCATATAAAAGTTCTGAAAATTCCAAATTTATTTTTATTTTTGCTTAAGAAATTTAGTTTAATTATATATTTTACTTAAATCTTGTTGTTGTTTTTTTTTCAACATAAATAATTCTTGTCCTATATGTCCATAAATAATTAAATAAAATGTCCTTATTTAATCAGTAAAGCCACTTACCAAATTGTGCAGTTTCACAGATCTGTGATTAACATTTAAATTTTTATCAAGTAATTATGTATTTTTTGCAATAAAATCTAAACCATTAGTTTTAATATTAAATGATTATAATTTAGCTTTTTCTGAGACCCTGTTTTTAAATTATGTTTGAACTTTTATTTTGTTAATGGGATCTTTCTGTCAAGTAAGAAAGTTAGAGCTTTTAAACTTGAATCTTTTACATTTTTTTGTTTTAGCTTTTCTGTAAGAACTTTTAAATATAAATAAGGGTGTGTGTGACACCCCCCCCCCTTCCTTCAATGATTTTTAGTCGGCAAATTTAACCCTTTCGATATAGGTTAGTCGGTAATTTTTTTCTTATTTTTTATACAGACTACAGACTAATTTTCACCTTGCCTTGTATCTTGAAATTACTTGAACGTATAATATAAAACATTTACAAATGAGCGGAATATTGTACAAAAAACAATTCGTTTTGAAATAAAATTTTACAAGCAGTAGTTGCATTATTCGATCACATTTGACTCTCTAAATAATCATTATTTTAATTTAGTCAAAGACATACTCGATGTACCAAAGAACGGTTTTTTTATCTTTTCTTGTAGATTTGAACATATTATTCCAATAAAACAAAAGAAATTTTTTTGAGTTATGTGGTCCATATCTGGTGGGCATTTTATACCTATTTAAAAACAACGATTGCCGATGCTATTATAAAAATTATAAAAAAATAGGTCTCCGGGCCCATAAACGATTATGCTAAGTCTGTTCCACATCAATCATTTCTATATTTATTTTTTATGTGGTCTCTACATTTCAATAATTTTTAATAAACGGTAAAAAATAATTAGTTCAAAAATCTTGGAGTGACATTTTTCCCAGTAAATTTTATGAAGTTCAAAGTTTTTTTTATTAACTCCTTCCTTCCCCCGTCCTCCACCCTTCTGCCTTATTGATTACACAATAAGTGAAAAGAGTTGTTTTAACTAAAAGTAATCAAGATTTAATTCGTGTGCTTTTACTAAAAATAATAAAATGCAGAATAAAAATATTTACGTATCTAAGTATATTTATTTTTTGAAAAAATATTTTTACACATTTTTTTAATTTTTTTTTTTTTTTTACCTTTTTGTTTACATTTTTTTGCTTTTTGTTTACATTTGTCGTCGTATTCAAAAACAAACAAACAAGGCTTCTAAAAGAAGATCATAATGATCTTATCATTAGAACCTTTTTTTTACAAGTTAAAAACTTTTTTGCATCAATACGTAAACAAGACTAAAAAATTACAATGAATCGTGTTATAAATTGAAAATATAAATCAAATTACTAATGTTATATATAATAAAAAAGTTGGATCTTATCCTCAGAACTAATAAAAGTGAAAATATATATACCATATATAAATATATATACAGGACCGTCCCGAATAGGTCTTCCATGGGGAGGTGTTGCATGTATTTTTTTAAAGGTTCATTTAAAAAACGATTATTTCTTAATGTGTATTTATTTATTGGTTTTAAAGAAAAAAGTTCGTTTAAGACAAAAAAGATAAATCGTTTTTCCATATAAAAGTAAAACATAAGGCATTATATATGAAGCTTATAAACATCTAGAACCTTCATATAATCAAAAAAAAATTTTGAATGTGAAAAGCAATCCGCATAATTAACTACGCGGGTTGCATGTTTCTGTCTGCGATAAAGATGTTGTAACTCACTTTTATCCGTACATCCCCAGGCGATGATTGCGTAGTTTATATAATTGTGTATAAATAAATAATTTTACATAAATTTAAATAAATTTAACCCAACTCTATTAGTTGGGTTAAATTTTTTTTGTTTAGATAATTTCGATAAGTTTATTTTTATAGATCGGAAAAATATTGGAGATATCAAAATTAGGTATAACAATTTTATTCCAAAGATAATTTGAGCTCGAAATGCAATGCAAAATTTGTTAAACGTTTTTCTTCAAACTGGTTCATATACATAAATTTTATTTCAAAGTAAATATTTATTAATTGGGTTTAGAGAAAAAGATCTTTAAAGATAGACTTAATTTATTATATTATTATATATTAAACTAGATTTAATATATAAAAGACAAAAACAAGCGTGTCGTATATTAGCAAACGCAAATAAAAATGCAAATTCTGAGGGAACTGAGAGTTCTTAATATCTACGAACAAAATATATATTGCATACTTCAGTTAATGTTTAAACTCAAAAATGATCTGGTCCCTGAAGTTTTTCATAACTATTTTCACCTTATTAATCACAAATATCGAACAAAATACTCTACCAATAACTACTATATTCCGAAAACCTCTTTAAAAAAATCTAAATTCTCAATATCCAGCAGAGGATCCCAATTGTGGAACTCATTTCTAACAAACAATAAATAAAAACGATAAACTCATTCCAACATTTTAAATGCGTTGTAAAGCAACAGCTACTAGACCTCAACATTAATGAAACTCATATTTTTAAAATTTTTCCTTTTTCAATTTAAATTTTTTTTTCTTCACTTTTTCTTGAAATTCTATTAAATTGCTTGCTTGGTTATTTAATGAAGTTCATTGTAAAAAAAAAAAAAAAAAAAAAAAAAAAAAAAAAAAAAAAAAAAAAAAAATCACATGTATTGTAAATATTTTATTATATTTGTATTTGGTTTATATTTTATTATATTTTGTCAACGACAAAAATGGGGCAAGATGATAAGACTTTTGTCTTCTACTTGCTCCAGTCATATATTTCACGGTAAAATGTTGTACAAATTTATATTAATAATGACGAAATATATTTATATATTAAAAAAAAATAGATAAATCGCTTTTTTCAGGTAAATAAAGCATAAAATAATATAAATATTGCGTTCATAAATATGTTTTGTTGTTGTTGTTGTTGTTTTTTTGTTTGTTTGTTTGTTTTGTTATTTAGGTGCTCCAAGAAGACCCTAACGGTCTTGTCACAGAGCACCACGGAAGTGACATTTAAGTGCATTTAACTAGGAAGTTCACGTCTCCTTCCTTACCGTGACGCGAAAATATGTCTAGAGTTCGTTTCAAGCCTGGATCTCCTGCTACTAAAGTTAGCGCTCTAACCATTACGTCAAGGCAACACATATTATAAATATTAAGCATTTTCATCTCCATAAATAATGGTTTGGAATGAGTAAAACGAATAATACTTACTTACAAACTAACAAAATGTAGCAATTGTCATTTTCGTACACCTTTATCTCATAAATACGTCATTCGATCATTAATATAGAAAAAATATAGTTTAAAAAAAGCAGTGTACTATAATACCCGTTTTAAAGTACACTGCTTTTTTTAAATTACACGGTAAGCTGTTCCAAATCAACCATTTATAAAATTATTATTTCAATCAATCAAAGTCAGGGGCGGATGCAGTATTCTTTGATATTTGAGATAGGTAACTTCCAGACATGGTACAAATTCCAAATATTTATATGGTTATATTTATATCAAATAAGGATGCTTTGCGAAAAATTGCTATCATTGGAGCCTGAATGCAAAAAAAACTTAAAATTTTAGCTACATCTACCCCAAATATGATTGCAACAAGTTGATAAAATATTTTTTCTCAACTAAGTTTATATTCTTCGATAAAGTTTAAAATTCATGCAATAATCTCTTAGCGTTCAACAATTATGGCCTAATAAAATTTGTAACCCCCTTATATTGAGGGGGGCTCAAATATTGTATGGTACCATACAATATGACCAAAAATACCAAAAATACCAAAAACTATGACCATGGTTATAGTTTTTGAACGCTAAAAAATTATTGTATGAATTTTATAGATTTAGGGTGGAATGCAAGAAGCAAACTTGAGTCAAGTTCGACTTCTTGCATTTCATCTTTAATTGAGAAAATAAATATTTTATTAACTTGTTGCTCTGACGCTGCTTTCATAACGTGTATAAACTTTTATCGACGTGGAGAAACTTTTTAACGACGTGTATAAACTTTTATCACTAACTTTCATAAAAAACAGTTTGTTTTCAAAAGTACGCGATATTTAAGCAAATTACCATAGCGTCGTTAAAAAAAGAAAAGACCTATAAAATTATAAATAACTATTTTGTAAATCAAGTTAAATTTTAAAGTTGCATTTGTTAAATTTTTACCAAATGCAAGCAAAATTATTGAACGTGGTTCACTTCCATATCTGATACTTACAATGCTTAAACATAATAAAAAATGTAACAAAACAACGCAAAAAAAAAAAAAAAAAAAAAAAAAAAACGTAAATCTAATAAAAAAAAAAATAGTTCACTTCCATTTTTTATACTTTTTAAATAGTTTACTTCCATTTTTTATACTTTAATGCTTAAACGTGAAAAAAAAAAAAAAATTTAATAAAAAGTAAAAAAACGTTAAAAAAAAACAACTACAAAAAAGTATATGTAAACGTAATAAAAACGTGAAAAATGAAAAAAAAAAAAAAAAAGTAATAAATTAAGTATTTTGATC